GAGCTCAGCAAACTGGAATAGCCAAAAGAACTGCCAGGCAATGGATGCACTGACAGATACAATCCCTAGTCTCACTAAGCAACGTGTAACCTATGGTTACACTGCCACTTTCATGTAAATTGAACCCTATATTGCCACTGACATGGCTACTCCCATCCTCTTCTCTGTTGGGAGCTGCTTGTTCTGGTGTGTTTTTTGTGTCAAATAGTAGGTCAAATGAAGGAACTAGTTAACTGAAAGCTAACTTAGAAGGATTTGCTATTAACTGCATCAGTTCTTCAGTTTGTCTCACTGTGTAGCAAAGCTGCTACTGGTGTAAAGGAGATGAAAATAAGAAGCTGGGATGCAGAAAAGGGTGGGATTCTAGCATCTTCTTGCAAATTGTTTTGGAAAACAGAAAAGATTATATGGTTTCTATTGTTGCATAGTTTCAATGAACCTAAGATATGGGCAGGGGAAGAAGCCCAAAAAGAAACACAGTCTCTGGTCACTGTCACAGGGGACCTTGATTTGGACCATAATAAGTTTTTCAGTACTAGAAGTGACTTAAATACAGATAACAGAAGAATGCAGAATGTGACTGCTCTCTATCAACTATAATGACTAGACCTCCATTATATATAGTGGCAATTTACAGATCTAGTTCATATGTATACACTCATTTTAGGTACCTTAATCTGCAAACTAAATTGTTATCCCAAAAGATTAATAGAGATTAAAGCTACCTTCACTCCTGTTGTACCATCCAATATTGGGAATATTTTATTCTCTTATGTAAATGCTTTATATTATAAAAGCTTCCAAGCCAACACCACAGTTTCTCCATGATAAAATATTCTGCTGCTTGCTACTCTGGTACTGAGATTTTACAACTTAGAGCTCAGAGGGTTTTGACTGAATGTAAACCTTTTGGCATTGCTGAGTGTCCATAATCGTATGTGTATCCATGGTAACTACAGGAGAGAAAGTATGGGTGTATAATCCTTAAGTAATACCATGTTACGTTTTTCTTTGTAGACAAAGAGATGCTAACTAGCTATAAGCATATTAATCTGCCTATGAATATCAAAGTTGCACATATACTCCTCACTAGCAAAATGGAAATTTAGTCAAATTTTAATGCATGGTAATAGTTCAGGAGTATAGATACAAAATTTCTGGAACTTCTGTTTTGAATAAAGGTGGGTAAATTAATTTCAGATCAATCACGTTAGTTAAATCTCCTTTCTCTTAACCTTACAGTTTAATAGAAAAGTCATAACTAATCATGCCAATCTTGTTGCTTACCAAAGGAAGGGATAAATTATTCTCTGACTAATCAAAATGAAATTACACCCTTTTAATATGTTATATTCCTGTGTGACAGCCTAAACATGTTCATATAACCATTTCATATGGAGTAAATGACTCAAGAATCAACATGATACTGACTGTACTACTATATTTTTAAGTAGGGTTTTTTCCCTTGTTTTCTTGTTTTATTAATTATTTTCAGTTAGGAAAAATACATAATATTTTAGACACAGTTATGACTGTCATTTAAAACCAAAAATATCTGGACACCATTTTTGTTTTATACTTACCAGCTTTCACCCTGTGAATTTTGGTAAAGCCTGCAGAAACTGTAAGACTGTTGTCTTATTGACATAAACCAGCAGAAGTTGCGTGCTTCTGCAAGTAAAGTTAAACACAAGGCACATTTTGACACTAATGGTTAATTAAAAAAAGCTTTGTATGCCTACTCCCTCAAGCATAGAGGTATGCATATGGATAGGAAATAGATGTACCTGAAGAGACACAAACTTGAAACACAAAAGGTGTTTTGCTGTAAAAGAGAAAGAAAAAAGTCCAATTTTATATACAGGTAAAATAGTTGCTAAATAGAAGAGGGTTTTCTCCCAGTTTTCCATGAGTTTTCAGCTGCTTTCTAATGGGATATACAAACTGAAGAAGGAATGCAAGCATAGATTCTGATTCCACAGCAATTTTTTCTACAATTGCTGTGCCACAGAAATTTGGCATCTATGGCTTCCCAGTCATAAAACTAATCCATTGAGTGGAAATCTGGGTTTTCTTCTGGGTTTTTTTTTTTGTTTGTTTGTTTGTTTTCCTATCTATGAGATACTAAATTTGGTGTTTTGTTGTCCTTCACAATGTCAGAGACTGATTATGCTTAGCACAATTTCTATGTGAAGAAATAAGACTGGAAGTCCTCAAGTTAGTATTTTCTGACAACATTACTAGGTAAGTTTTCCTTTGTTTTCCCCCTTCTTCAGCCATGGGGGTGGGAGGGTGGGGAGAGGAGAGAAGATAATTAAATAAAATTTACAGTTGTTTTATTTTGCCAACAATATAATTATGAATCCAACAAAGACAAGAATGAGGCTGTAGTTCCTGAAGATTTTAATCCTTCCTGACAAATCTGTCATGGTAGAACCTTCATTGCAAAACGGGAAAGGTCCAGTGTAGGAATCATAAGGAAGCAAACCTCCATTCTGGACCAGAATCAGAGAAGAAGAATAAGGACCATAATTGAGTTTCCCTGTAAGTATATGCAGCCTTTGAGGAAAAAATCCCTCTGTTTTTTCAAACTAAAATGCTTCAAAGTGTCTCATTCCCACAGTGTAGGAAAGTAAAAGATCTAGACTCAGTTGTATTCCATTAACTGCGTGTCTGATGTTGAAGAGTATGATAACCTCAAGAAATTTGAGTAATGGAGCTCTAGAAGAAGGGTAAACTGATTACACAGAATTGTAGAACTCGAAAGGCTCTTCGATGCTCAGTACAAAGCATCATGCACTCCAATTCCAAGGGACAATCAACTATAACTTCTGTGATTTTTGATATTTGTTTTTCTACTCTGTACTTAGAAACCTCAAATGACCTCCCAAGTTAATGACTTCCAACGATTCAGTTACTTTTATCATTTAGTAAGTTTTTCTTATAATAGCTGTGCCAAATTATGCAGTCTGCATGTATTGTCCTGTTCCTGGATACATTCACAACATGTAGTCATGGAACCAGAATGACCTAGTCTGGTGATGTGCCTTTTGGCAGTAATTTTTCTTCGAAAGGAAAAGGTTAGTCTGCTATATTAAATAGTTCTGTGCTGGATCCAGAGCTAATTGCTTTGTTCCCATTTTAAGTGTTGTCCTGGAAGTGTCACAGTATGTTTCAATATGTGAAGTTAACTGGTTCAGTAATTGTGATGATAAGCAACAAAACCTACTGAAGTTTAAAGCTACTTAGTAATAAACAAGTAAACCTTAAGTAATTTTAACAGTGCTCTGAGCAATATACTTTAAAACTTGTGGGACTTTTGTATAGTTCTTCTCGAGGGATGCGTGGGCTGGAAAGATCACCCACTTCTCATGCAAATAGACTCTATTCTCTAAGGAACCTATGGATCTGGAATTCTGTGCATAGGAGTGAGTGAGCTGGGTGTAATTCAAATATCATCCTTCAACAAGCACTCAAAGAACTGGTATAAAAGTACCCATGAAGTCTCTCTGCTCTTTTTCTTAGTGGAGTCTGGCTCCTGGAACAGAAATGAATTATGGAAAACATTGCCTTATCATAGGATGGAGGAAGTGGCCTTGGAAATAAAGACGCACGTCCATGTCTAGGTGGCTTAACCTGCTACAGAATTCCCATAATCTATTCAGATATACAGGAATTGTGTTATGGGTGCTGAATCCATCTGTGTTGAAACTTGCAATAGAATCCATTTTGCCAGGGGAATCATCAGTGGAAATTCCATTCAGACAGCCCTGTTAATTCACCCTTGGCTTTTCTTTTGATTTACCATGGGGTAGGGGGCAGAGGGGAAGGGTAAGTTTCCAGCTGAAGTACCACAAAGCTCAAACTGGTTGTTTGGTAACCCCCTCCGGGTGGACAATAGTGTGTCACTTAAGTTATATACCTATGATGGCCTGGGAGTTTAATCTGAAAAATAACTGGGTTTTTTTTCCATATGCTGTACCATCATATTAGAGTTCTGTGGAAGTACTTAAGTGAAATTCCTCACAATTTCAAAAGAAGGCTCTATGAAAGACTTTCTTCATGGTTCGCTGTAAACTTTTGAACTTAACTTCCTTTGCTGATCAACCACAATAACATTTGTTAACCTTATAAGCATGGCACAAAGCCCTTGTTTTCTCTTATATGAAAGGTGGAGGGGAAAATAATTTAAAATAAACATTAAACATTATTTCTTAATTGGGTCACCGTATTATACATAATTTTTCATAGACAAATTAAATAATTTTAGCAATGTAAATATATGTACTGTGCTACAGAGGGTGTATGATTTAAGTGTAATAATAAGATTTTTATTTGGGGTTTTTACTCTGAAGACAGCTAAGAAAAATCTCAGAGCTTCCCAAAACCACTCGTTCCAAAGAAACCACAATGTTACAGAGCCCTTTCATCATCCAGCATACGGTACTGTAGAACACAAAAATATACACTGTACTGCTTTAAATTAATTCATATTTGCAGGAGACACAGTCTGTGTGAGTATGTGCAATTATGAAATGTAACTTTTTTTTTCCTCTTGACTTTTTTAGCTGCCTCACCCCTTTTATTTGAACACATACATATGGTGTGTGAGAGTGAGCAAGCTCTCTGTAAATGTTTGGAAGGAGCATCTGTCAGACAATAAAACTTACAAGAAAACATGCTTCTCATTTAAAGTGTATTCACGAGAACTATCTCAGTGTTGGACTGAGTTCATTTGTATAGCTTGGAGGCATTAATAAGAGCAGAGAACTGTAAAGGCACCAGAAAAGGCGAACTGTTAACAAGAATCCAAGGTATTTTTTTAAAGCATTTCGTCTATTCGGCATCACAATCTTCTGATAGGAACCTGAACCAGTTGACAGAGAGGAAATCTCTGATAGTCCATCAAAAATACTGCAGAGAAGAAGATGGCATGCTTTTTGCAAACCTGGAAAGTCTAAAGATTACAATAATTGTTGGACCAAAGGGACCCTCTTCAGGCATAAATAGCAAGACTCCTACTGTCTTCTCTTGCAGACCAACTCAGCTGCCAGCAAAAGCAGGTGCTCTCCCCCTACCAGTGCTCCAGAGGAAATATTTAGTGAGTATACACAGCTCTTTTTACAAATTAATATATTATTAGCATTTTAGTTATATTTGTATAGTTTTCTCAAAGGACAAAAGCATTTAAAAATATATTTTTAAGGCTGTTATTTTGAACAATTGCTGGAGTTCAATAGTCTGATGCAGTTACCATGTTAATTTAAAAATAAAATTTGCACAATCTATGACAGCAACTTGTTAAAAATATTGGTTTTTAACAACTGTGTAGCTTAACCAATCTGAAGCAATTACAAAGTATTTTTTAATGCACAAGTTATAACAGCAAAGTAAATTATGTAAATATGAAATGTATTTGACTTGAAATGTTATGCCATAAAAAAGCCTTTGTAGAACACAAATTTAAAATAAATCATTTCTTTTGGCAAAGTAACCTGCAATTTGATCTTTAGAAGAATAAATACACCACTAATGTTTTCCACAGAAACAGTTGCTACTCTAATTAATTCAAGATGTGACTCTAATAAGATTTCAAAAGAAAATCAGAAACAGATTTTTCGCAGAGGTAGTACTATGGACAAGGTTAAGATATTTTTATTTTCATTAGAAACACTTGTCCCAGGTAGAGTTACAGATTTGTAGTATATAGCGTGGAAATATCGAATCTGAAAGCATTATAATAATGTTTCTAGAAGCATAATAATTTTTAGTGTTTCAGATACATTCTTTCTTTTTGGTTATAACTTATCATATGTTACATTTTATTAGGTAACTGTTATTCAATTTTGAATTTAGAGTGACTAATACGGCTAACATATTTTTTTCTTTTTGTGTGGAAGGGAATGGAAAACTTGATGTTTGTCTACTGCTCCTGTAAAATTATCTGGACATTGCTTTTAACAGTACTCGGTTATGCCAGCGGTTTGCCTGTGGGTGATGATTCTATTTGCACAGCAGAGGAACTTGCTAAGTACAGCATAATCTTCACAGGGAAATGGAGTCAGACTGCTTTCCCTAAGCAGTATCCACTTTACAGGCCCCCAGCACAGTGGTCATCAATGCTAGGTAAGTGAAGTATATACAGTTTTAAGAACACACAAATCTCTTGACCACTGTGATCTTTTTTCTTTTTAATAGTCGATTTTAAGATAACTAATGAAAAAGGGAAAAAGTAGCTTATTAAGTTATTAAGAATGGAATGCAGAAATTGAAGTATCCACAATGCTTTCAAAAATCCACAACTGTTTTCAATTGACTTCTGTTTTCAACTGGCTGCAGCTGCAATAAACAGTGATAAGCCAAATGTTTTAGTGTTCATTCATTTTATACACTTTTTTTTAACCTCAGAAATAAAAAAGAGAAATTAAAGAAATAGGGACAATTGAAACCAGACTTTTATGTCATGCTATGTATTCACTCAAATAGGTGTTACTCATAGTTCTGACTACAACATGTGGAAAAAAAATGAATATGCCAGCAATGGTGTACGTGATTTTGCTGAAAAGGGTGAAGCATGGGTATTAATGAAAGAAATAGAAGAAGCTGGAGAGAAAATTCAGAGTGTACATGGAATCTTCTCTGCTCCTGCCATTTCCACTGGTACAGGACAAACCTCCACTGAATTAGAAGTGCATTCAAGACATCCCTTAGTAAGTAAATGTACATATTAATTTTAAAAGTTTGGTTTATGTCACTAGCACCCATAATTAAATATTTGAGTTCTCACTTGTAGGAACAATATAATGCAAAGAGTTACTAAAAAGCATGCCACATTGCAGGGAGTACTGTACAGGTTCCATAAAGCAGAATAGTATAATGACATTTCTTTCCAAAATTTTAAGTTAAAATTACTGTAAGCAGGACTGGAGCATTTCAAAATAAGTGACACAATCCTGATAGATCATTTTGTTTCATTAGGTTTCATTTGTTGTACGAATTGTTCCAAGTCCTGACTGGTTTGTGGGTATTGACAGCCTAAATCTCTGTGAAGGAGGCCACTGGATGGAAGAAGTATCAGTAGATCTATTTCCATATGACGCTGGGACGGATAGTGGTTTCACATTTTCCTCCCCAAACTTTGCCACTATTCCACAGGACACAGTTACAGAGGTAGGTGTAGGTACATAATATAGCACTTCATACCTATGTGTTTTGAGTCCTCCCTTTAAAAGATAACTATCCTGTGACTACATGATAGACTGTTGTGAAACTGCTTTCAGTATTTGAGAGTGCTGATGCTCTCTATGTATGGATTCATTACATAGCTGATAAACCTACTGCTTTTGTTTATTTTCTGTATCTTTCAAATTTATTAGGTAATTACAGATGAATTTGGCTCTGAATTTAAAGTATTTTCTGTAAAAGCTGACTATTTTTAGATCATTTTTAACAATTCTTAAAACACAGGAAAAATAAAAATATTCACAACAGTTCTGGCTTTACTAAATACGTATTTAAACAGGAAAATTCTTAGTAGTGAATACTGATATGGGGAAGTGTTTTCAGTCAAAAGCATTGCTGGAACCTGAAACTGTTACATTTGAGGGAAAGGAGCTGAAGGAAAGGAGATAAAGGAAGGGAGCGGAGAACTTCATCGCTACTGTGGTGACACCACTTTCAATCTATCTTACTTGGTTGATATTCTATATGCCTCATACTTTGCTTTTGTCACTTAAGGGTGGTGGGGAACACAGGATTTTGATTCAAATGTTTTGAATACTATAAACATTGAGTTAATGATGTTTTCTTTAAAGTCAGCTTTTCTAGAGCAAAATGCTGTGTTGATGAATAATGAGAAAAGGAACAGAGAAGCTGGAAAACAATACATTTGGTCTTTTATGTCCATACGACAGTTGCTATAGCATACCTAATACTGTTATTTAATACCCTTGTGTTCTTCCTTGTAATACCCACTTCCTTCTATCAAACCATTCCCTACATTACTCTTTTTTCAGTACCTCCCACTGCAGTCCTCTATCCAAAGGTTGGCACAATTCATTGTGCCCAGTCTCAAATCATTACGCATAAAAATTCTGGGATTACCAGCGGTAGTTGTGTGAACCGAGGTTCATAGAAACTGGTTATATGCATTTTACTTGCCAAAGAGTATTAACGTGTTGTCTAAATATGATTTTACAATTATCTTCTTACTAATATGATATAGTTTCTTTAAGGTTCCCCTTTTTATTTCACAGATCACTTGTTCCTCTCCAAGTCACCCAGCAAACTCGTTTTACTATCCCAAACTCAAAATTTTGCCACCTATTGCTCAAGTAACAATGGTGAAATTAAAGAAAAACCAGCTGGGTCTTCCTGCACCTTATCTTAATGTTCCAGCTAAAAGCAACGAAATAATAGACTCTGTCTCAGGTAAGTGAGTAGTTTGATATGCTCAATTCCGTTATTTCCATTCACTCAGAAAATACGTGGAAATCTGGCAGGTGATGTGGATGAAATAGGTGATTAGGCAAAATATTCTCCTGTCTGCATAGGAATAGTTTCCAGACTCACACATGGGAAATAAAACAAGCCAGTTGGCATAAAAAAAGAATCCCTGGAAGAATAAGGAAGGGATTGCATATTTGAGCTATAGTTCAAAGGTTTGGGTTATACCCACAGTAAGGGTTACTCAAGCCTTAGTATCAGCATAGATCAGCATAGTGAATTTTATGAGAAATAAACAACACTTGATCTGAATCAGAGTTTCCAAATTCTTTGCAACTTTGAAGTAAATACTCATCCTTAAGTTTTAACATGATGATGGAGCAAAAGAACTATTACTGTCTGAGGATCAGAGGGCTGGATAGTTATGTGCAATAAGATTGGATATAATTCAATTGATTTGGACATATTTGTGATAGAAACATACATCCTGACAACAAAAATAATGCTCTCTTTCATTGTCCTTTTCTTAAAAATATTAGCTAATAACCTTGTTCAAGTAGGAAGACATGCAAACTACTGACTCAAGTCAGTCTTAAGGGTAATTTTCAAATCTCAAAACTAACAAATACATAATTAACATAATATTTGCTCTAAAGGAAAAATAGCAGATAGACAGTGTCCATTGAGATTTTCTCTTTACGCTTTTCTGGTGGATTTTTACAAAGTGTAAGAAGAAGGGTTAAGAATAAGAATACCAACATCCTAAATACTATTTGAGAGACAGCAACAGGCTAAATCCCCAATGTGTTCCTAATCCTAATGCAGATGTTCCTGATCCTAATCCCCAATGCAGAGTCTCTCCAGTATGTCTGAAGATTGCATACCTCTAGCTCGGTGTTGAAGTCACCTCACAATTGTTAAAATAAATCTCATTCCCTACATATCTGATAATGCATGATTTATACTTTCATAAATGTATTTCTCTATCAATTTATAGTGTTTTAATGTATTTCTATTAGTAAACAAGGCATATTCTAAGTGAGTACTACATATCTCATTTTCAGTCACATGCCTTTCCCACCATATTTGAAAGGAAAATTTGGCCCTCTTTAGGACAGAAATTTAAAACAATGCATTTGAAGTATGGTATTTAAAAAGTACTGTTTAAACATATATCCCCAACTTATTGTATATTAGCCAGTAAATCAGTCTATTTATAAACATATTCCAGAATCAAAAGGACAGATTTAATTACCAGAGATTAAACTGTGTCCATTCCCTCTAGAAACACGGGAATGAGTGATCAACAGAAGTGGCAAGTTCCCCCGTAATAGCAGAAATTTATACCAGAAGTGACACAGTACAGCATTTAAAGCTGGTTTTGTGCACAAGTATTTTAGCCACTGCTGTAATACACAGTTTTGATGCAATTTCCTCTGACAAGCAATATTTTTATTTAACCTGTTAAGGAATAGTCACCTTATAGTGACTATAGACTATTATAGTCACCTAATAGTCTCTTTTTATGAGAGGTATTTTCAGTGGAAGTACACATTATGAAGAGACTTCTTTTCTTGCAGTAATTTAAAACTATATTGAAAACACTTTTAGTATTGAAAAGCTTCTCTAGTGACAGTGGCAAAGGGAACTGTAGTGTACATACTGAACTATAGCAAGATGATTTAATGATAAAAAAATGGGAGTTTATTTCTGAAGCAAATTGGAACAAAAGTTAGATGGAATTCAATATGAACAATTATAGGAACAATATCTATCTGCAAACAAATATAAATATACCTAAATAAACCAGAGAAAAGCTTTAATCCTGGTGGTTTTAGTACGCCATGCAAAGGCAAATGGGTTATAAAATTGACAGTAAATGTTTTTTAATGCAATCTTTTGAATGCAATTATTCTAAGTATAGTTTTCTTTGAAAAATTCTATGTTTCAATTCAATAGATAATATGCTGCACTACTGATATAATACCTCAGACAGTCTCTAGGCTGCAATAATAATAATACCAGTGTCAATGAGCTTAGGAGCTGAAAACACTTTTATTTATGAGACAACATATGGGTTTCATGAAAATCACATGTATTTTTGTATAAGAAAGGACACTATTTGATCATCATTCCTCAGTGCTTTGCTAACTGTGTATTTACCTTAAGCATGAATTTATGTAAAGTTACCTTCTTATTGTGTATATTGCAGAAACACCACTGGACTGTGAGGTTTCACAATGGTCTTCCTGGGGTCTCTGTAGGGGTCTTTGCAGAAAAACAGGGACCAAGATTAGAACTCGTTTTGTACTTCTTCAACCTGCCAACAATGGAATGCCCTGTCCAAATCTGGATGAAGAAACAGGATGTGAACCAGAGAATTGTGTCTGAAATAAAAAAAGATAATAATTTAGATAATTTAAAAGTAGGATAAGTTTATCTGAATCTAAACTATATGTCAGTCAATGTTCCTTATGATTTGGGTATGCTGCAATATTTTGCTGAAAAGGTATATTAGACTGGTTTTGAAAGCTTTTGTTTAATATGAAGATTTTGGGGGGTTAAATTCTTAAGATTTAGTATGACAAAAGTACTTGATCATTTACAGACCAAAAAAACCCAAATAAATCCTTGCTATAAATATACTGTAAGTTCTTGGAGTACCCTCTAGTGGCAGAAAAGAAGACATTTGAAAAGACTACTTCACACGTAAAAATCTTTCAATCACAAAATCTAAACTACTAACATTCTTAGATACTGTAATTTGCCAGTCTACAGCTATTTATACCTAGAAATTAATTTTCTCTCTAAATTATGTTTTATAATTTATTGGCAGTTTTGTTGTCTTTCTAAACATGCTTAACATGCATTTATTCAGAAACTACTTACATAATTCAGAGTGACCAGATGTCTGCAGTATGGTTAAGACAATAGTATAACTGAGTAAACTTCTCTTGAGACTTATGAATACATAAAAATGCCTTTTTGGTTTTTTTTTATCAAAAGTGAGAAGAATATCTGTCATGAGGACACTTGGCCAAAAAAAATTACTAGAAAAAATTAGAAGTGTGGATTCTAATATATTCTACATGCTAAATATCTATTTTTCAGATAAAAAACCTCTGAACTTAACTAAAAGTGTTAGCTGAGATTTAAAAACTGGCTGAATGTTGGTGCGTGTCCCTCGTGAGATGACTATCTCAAAGTTAACACTGTTGACCATAACATAAATTATATAGTTATCTTTATATATACATCGTAAATGTGTTCATGTTTCTTTAAATGTGTTTGCTGCTATTTGTGTCATCCTAACCTTTTTACAGATAAAATTTACTGATGTTTTAATATGAGCTAAAACCGAGTTCTATAACAAAACACCATATGTCAGAAACTGTTCCTGACTGCAAGTTTTAATGTTTAAATAACTGTTATAAAATGAATGTAACATATGGCTTATAAAGAATTGTGGCTACCAACTAGGAAAAGAATTTTGGAATAACACTGTTCAGTAGGAGATATTTAGAGTCAGCCCACAAAACTTTTACAGCACACTGCAATTTTACCAATATACAGCACAGATATTGAAAAGGAGAGCTGATTTGAGTAGGTTCTTTTTGAAATATGTCAAATATCAGAAAATTTACTATGTACTTAAAGGAGCACAGGGTATTCTCTGTAGGGCTGAAACATTTAAAAGGTTCTCTATATTTTTTTTTCCAGAAGATAAATCTTGCAAAGACTCAAAGAAATTTGAAACTTTATCAGAGTAGACTAAGTTGGTCCTGTAAATGCTGATAAATGCACAGTTGTTAGAACTAAGTATAGGAATTTCTACATTTTACGTTCTTCAGATTCTCACTGTTGCCTGTTTTTCAAAATTGTTTCTCTTACTCTTTATTATACCTATTTTTTTCAGGTTCCTCTGTTTCCATTCTGTAATGGAAATACTATTATTAAACTATCATTTTCTTTTTTTTTTAGTTAATTTCTCTGTCTTTTCAACTATTTTCTTTCTTATTTTTATATTTTTTTTTCTCATTCTATGTTTTCTTTTCTGTTAAGCTTATTTACTATATAGTTACATAGTTATCACCATCACAAAAAACAAAAGCATATGTTGTAGTATATATTTAAATACTCTCTGAGGACAGGAACTCATTTCAAATATATTGATCAACAAGTGATAAACTAAACTCAATAAAGGTCATGGGCAGAAATCAGATGCAAGTCTAAACTATGACTCAGGGAAAACAAACCCACAAACCACAAGGTATCCTTGGAGGAACGTTCCTGGAAGCCCTCTAAACACTAAAGTTTGCTTCCTCAACAGAAGCATGTCCAACTAAATGACTAGGTCCAGTAGAAGAATATCTGTAATTGTATACATAACCCGCATCTAGGATTTCAGTCCTACAAGACATGATTTGATAGTGGGGCGGTCCCAGTGTTTACTCAAACTCCTGAAGCCAAAAGTTTCCCAAAGAAGACTGAAGGAGAAGAGATGAGAGTGAGAGGTGGAGTAGAAAGGGAAGTGTATATGTAAAAGGCCAACACACTTTAGGAAACTCAAGTTAGTAATAAATAGTTTCTATTTAGACTGTTTACATAAATGAATATTTATTGCAGATACCTTCAAGCAGAAGTTTCCTATCCAGTCAGTTACCTGGGTATGGGGTTTTTTATAAGCAGTGACTTCAGATAAGCAGACAAGCATGACCTTGGTGAACATGGCATTCTTTAAGGATGTCTTTGTGGCTGTATAATGTTTGGCCATGAATATAGTTCCAGGTATTCCCTTTGCAAGCACTAGGGCTGGACATATTTCTTGGCAAGAATGTGGATACAATGATTTCTAGTGAAGCACATTCTAATGATTAAGCATATTTTTCATAACATATCTTTATTAAACTGATTAGTGATGTATGAGATCCCTGTGTGGATATGGCTAGGCCTTTGTGGCTTTTACTTTCAGCACAGTCATGGATTTTTTCTTAAAAATTTTGGGACAGCAAAGAAACACAGAGAAGTTCTTCCTTCCTTTTCCCTTACATCCAGTGTCACAGATGGCTGGCAGCCAAGATGTTGTGGTCCTAAATACATGAGATTTAGGGAAGAAAATAGGTAAATTAATTTCTGGGTTAAACTAATCACAGAAAACACTTTATGAGTAAACTTGAAATGGATTTGTAAAGACTTTTTTTTTTAACAAGACTGTTTTGTAGAAAGAATCAGCTTTGATGCCTTGGCAGATATTCTTGCAGAATGGAAAACATGGTTAAAGGTAAGCGTAGCAGCAAAAAATTCACCACAGACTTGAACTGTGCTCCTACAAAAACCATGAACACCACATTCAATTCCTATAGTGGAATAGGGTACATCGTTACTGACAACAACTTGTCTAGTACCTTAAGACATTTAAGGACAGTTATCTGTGAACACATGAAGACTCTTCCTATTGTATCCTGATAGGTAGGGATGCCAGCTGAAGCTATATATATGTATCTTTATGCTTTCCTATGGGCTGTGACTTCTCTGCAGACATTCAATTCAGCACCTTGGTGGTTAGTGACTCAGAAAAAAACAGGGTACTTCTGTAGATGTCAGGATATGGGAGGGACTGATGTGATCTTTGAACTGAACTGAACTGAACTGAAAACTGGAAAGCTCTCCCTGGTACCATCGCATAAATGTTGGCTGCGTGAGCCTTACGTGGACTAGAGGAGGAGGCAGACATACTGGTCTACAAAATACTCAAAAATGACTAGGATGGATGTCCAGGGTGTATGTGTGAAACAAACTTACTAACTGCTGTTTGAGGTGCTGTTCCATTATGTTAAGTAAATATGCCTTTCCACAACTGAGGAGAAGCTGTATCAGAGGGCCAACTCTATACTATGTAAGTGTATTGTATAAGTAGGCCAAGTCTAACTGACCAAATCTTGTCCACCAAGCCTCAAATGTTGCAGGCAATTGTCAAAAAGGCACGGTCTTGGATTCATTGAAAAATAGTTCTAATACCTTAGCCACAACTGACAAAGTTAAGCATGGTCACAGAAATCAATGTGTGCCTAACTTCTAGAAGGGAAGGGGAAACATCTGTCAGCCTTTCTAACCACTGAATAAGCACTGTCCCCAGCAGGATGTAACTAGAGTGCGAACAAAAGATCAGTGAGTACCTGACGGCATTGAAGGCAAAAAGTCCATTTAATGATATTCCCAGTCCCAGGTAATTGAAGTACATTGGGAATATCTGATCTATCATGAATGATCCAATATAATAAAGTAACTCAGACTATTCCATGACAAAATTTGACATGTTCAGAAAATAAATCTAACACTTGATACAGTGATTCTGAAGTCAGCTGAATCCTGTTTAATGGGCGTTAGTATGCAAGAGTTGTATCCGTGACACAGGTACTGTGAGCGTGTGAGACAAAAAAGCATTAGTATGCAAGAGATATCCGTGATACAGGTACTGTGAGCGTGTGAGACAAAAAAG